GAGAGAGAGAGAGAACCTCATATTTGATCTTTGGGATTCCAGGAAAGAACTCTCCTTTCCAGACATCATCAGCGCAACCTGAATCAATATTAGCAGGACATGTTGGTGGATTTGCAGCAACCTGAAAAGCACAAAATAAGTAGGATCAGTACCTCGATCATTCAAAGATCAAACCGTTGTACACAATCCATCACTCCAAACTAAAAAAAAAAGAAAAAGAAAAAAAAACAATGAAACAGAAATCTCCACTGTAAAACAAATAAATTCACTAACCGCTGAGAAAAGGATACAAGTGAGAGAAAGGAGAAGCCTCAAAATCCCCATCATCTTCATCTCTGAAAATGCAAAGAAATTCTCTGAAAAAGAGAGTTAGAAACTCATTAAAAGGGCACACCGAGTAAAAACATGAACAAAAAAAACTTAAAAAAAAAAGAGCGTGTACCAGCCTAGAGAAAAGCAGAAGTAAAAGTCTAGAGAGAAGCAGAAGTATAGAGAGAAGAAGGAGAAGAGATGAAGATTGACAGAGTTGTGATCATCTTATACTGATGAGGTCTCGTTTGAAAGAGGGAGGGCGATTGGTATGGACAATTTTGGTAATTTACAATTAATCAAATCTTATTGCCACGTCAGCATGACAGGGTTTATGTTTATCCATCGCCGAAATTACCGACGGATTACCTCGGAAATCTAAAACCCGTGATACGCTACGATCAGTTGAATGAACTAAAGAGTTAATAAGCTTAAGACAATCATTATTTTAGAAGAAAGGGCTTTAAATAGTTGCTTTTAACATAAACGGGATTTAGAGGACGTAAATTGCACACTAACCTGGCAATTTTTGCCAAAATAATTTATAGTCCTGAGGGAGTATGCTGTCTTTACTGCCTTTTGTAAGAACCAATTTAGGATTAACTTTAGGAAAATAAAATTTTGGAGACGTAACCTCTTCAAGCTATATAGTCTCATCTCAATACAAACATTTTCGTAATTCCAAGTCTTTATACTAAAAATGTCTCACGATTGAATAGAGACCGTCCAACTTTTAAAGAGAGAGATTAAGCGTTAGAAAACTTAAAATCAAATCTAATATTCTAAAATAATCATTTAGTTAAAATATTAAGTGGTTCTATAATTTGAAATTTTAAAAGTCCTCCCAAGAGGATCTCCTCATAGGGGTGGCAATGGATCGGGTCCTACTGGACTCGGAGCCAGACTCCAAATATTCGGATTCAGGTTTTGGACTCAGACCTGATCCATCGGGTTCAAAAGTTGGACCCATACTCGTACCCGTAGGGTCCTAAGTTTGGTCGGATCCACTGCTACCCTCACTATGAACTTCATTGTTGTAGCCTACAATGGTGAACTACAGACAACTAATTTTTGAAGGGTGGGCGATTAGAGAGAGAGAGATACGTTCGAGATCCATGGAAAGAGCTATGTCTCCAAGAAAATGAAAGATGAAGAATTGCAGAGAGGGAGGATGGTTATGGGATTTGGCTGTTTGGGGAACTAGGAGAAGACAAAAAATATTGAAACGTTTCTAGGGTTGGGGCTTCTGCCTTTGGGTAACTAAAAATTCGGGTCCGAGTACCTGTGGGGTCGGGTATAGTAAGACATGTACGCGAACTTGGGACTATCCGAGTATCCTTTATTGTACCCGGACCCTACCCGTGGGTCCAAAACTTTGATCCATATCCTGACCGTGTGGGGTAATATTCGGCAGGTATAGGTCGGTCCCGGGTCCATTCCCCCCCCTATCTCCTGACATGGGGTATATATATTTACTATGCTCTTGCGGGAGATTTTTTGACTAATTATTTTTTGTTAAAAATATCTTGAACATAATGACTAACAATTTAAAAAGAGAATAAATTTCGAGTTCTTGGTAACTTAGAAGTGACTGCTTGTTAGGAGAAGGGATGGGGTTCAGCATTGGATATCCTGATCAGAGTTGTTGAAGACCGGACTGGATTGGACATCATTTGGACCATAATGGGAATATTGTTGTGAAGATCAAAACTGGATCAGGCCAGGAAGTGCCTTGACCGGTGTAACTCACAAATTTGGGGTCATACAAATAGCACAAACAAATAGTGTCGAGAAATGTAGTTTCAATACTGAAAATATTTGTGATAGCCTTAAAATATATTTTCACATTTATTTATAAAGTTTAAAGATTAAAAAATAGTGTAGATCGATAGATCTATGAAAACTTGAAAACTTGAAAATTGATGGTCAAAAAATACATTACAAAATACACTATTTCCAAAACTTGAAATCTATTTTTTCCTCATATCAATGCATCTTCATGTCGAGGTGATCAATCTGAGGACATTTGAGCATCAAAACAACCTCTTCTAATGAAATTTTTGAGATAAGTTCAACTTTGATTGTTTAGAGCCTAGGCTCTATATAAAGCTTTCCCATATTAATATGGTACAATTTTTCACTAGGCTACAACTTTAGCATAGTACATGTGCTTTGTATGTGATTTGAATCTAATCTATATTAAGTAACTTTCTAATCGTGTTTTTTCTCTCCGTAACAAAATCTAGAATATATCACTTATAACAAGTCTTTTATATCTATGCCCTTTCTCTCTCTCTAAATTTTTTATGTAACTAGATCTATTTTTCCAATTGCAATATCACTCTCTTTTTCTCTCTCTAAATGCATATTTTCTATTTTAATCATGCTCTATGTTCTTTTCCATATTAAATTAGTTAAATATTATATTGTATGTTATTAAAAATCTATTTATGTGCGTGAAGGTAGTTCTAGATCCTTTAAAATAACCTGTGTCCATCCTACATCCATGAAGTAATCTCTTAACAGCTAAACTACTTGCTAAGGTTTCCATTAACATGTGGGTATTTATATCAATCTTGAATAAACTACAACTTAGAATATTACTATACATGATTTTTATAGTGGCCCTATGTTGTACTACCCACTCAGTCTGTATCAAATTTATTCTAAACTAATCATTTGTAAATTACTGCTTAGAGCAATGTAATACATAATTTTTGTAGTGGCACTATGTTGTACTACTCACTTAATTTATGTGAATTTTATTTTAAAGAACTTAATATGAATATAGAATTTATTTGAATTGTACATATTGTTTCATAATAGAGCTTCAAAGGGCATCTGCATTGGATTTCCTAAAACTTAAAAAATCGAAGCTCTTTAATGTGGTCATTGAAGACTATATTGTTAGTTTTTTTTTTTTTAAATAATCTTAAAGTAGTGCAATTTGTCTTTTTTGTGTTGCTATTGTGCTTCCCACGAAACTTGTGTCAAACTTATTTCAAAGAAGTTAACATGAATGTAGAATTCATTTATACTCGATATATTATTTCATTATAGGGTTTAAAGGGACGTGTGTTACTCATTCGTGCGGGAATTTTAGGCTTTGATTGCGTTGAACTTGAAAAATAGAACTTTATTATTATTATGTTGTTTAAGTCAGGTAGATTTCTTAATCTACTTTTCAAGAGTGTTCTAATTATAAGTTATATATTATAAAAAATAATTTAAATATTTATAAGGTATAAGTTATACATATATATCATCGCTTCTTTATATTTATATGCTATAATTTATAACTTATAATAGCAATTTAACTATATTTATAAGTAATAAATATATTTAAGCTAAATATATTAAAATAGATAAACGAATAACTTGATATATTTGTAAAAATTAATAACTTGATAAATTTATAATTTATAGTACAATAAATTTTAAATAGAATTATACATTCTATTATTTTGGAGAAAATTTATTTCATAATAAAAATATAAAATTAATTAAAATCCATTAAAATCTTAAAATATTGCAAAAAATATATAAACCCTATAACTAAAAACAACAGTCGAACTACGACTTCATCTATTGATTCTCCTTGGAGTCCATCTTTTTTTTCATCGAAATTCGGCTCATCCGCCTCATTTATTATCAAGAATGGGATCACTGATTCCATTTGGACGCTCGTTAAAGATTGGTGGTGAGTCTTCCATATAATGTTTTAAAACCCCAATCTAAATCAAGGATAGCCGATTAGAATTAGTAATCAATTGGGATTGAACCAGTTCTGAGAGGGTATAGGTACCGGTTTTGGCCCTACCTAAACTCCCTTCATAGTTTTTATGCCTTTTATTAATCTTACATAAGCTACTGCTCATAACACTGCATTGCGTCATTTTGTTGGCGACACTGTGTTTTGCTAACCATTCAGAAATTTATTATAAAGAAGTTAAAAATGAATGTCTAATTTATTTAAATTGTGTATATTTTTTTATTATAAAGTTTAAAGGAACACATGAATTGGATTGTCTAAGAGTTGAAGAATAGAAGTTCTTTATTATGGTTTTGCTAATCTATATTATAGGTTTGTCTTTAATTAATCCTAAAGTAGTGTAAGGTGTCAGTTTTGTTGTGACACTATATTGTGCTACCTATTCAACTTATGTCTAAGTTATTTCACAGAAGTTAACATGAATGTGAAATTGTATCATTATAGAGTTTAAAGGGGCATTATGTATTATACATTGACAAAGGGGATTTTATGTTTTGATTTGTAGAAGTTGAAAAATGATTTTTTTTTTTTATTGTGCTCTTGCTAGACTATATTTTAGGTTTATTTATAATGAATGTTATGCTTTTTTAATTCAATGAGATTTTTTAACAAACTTTCTAAAAATTTGTTCTTATTATAAGTTATAATTGCATCTTATAAAAACAACTTAAACATTATTTATAAGTTATAAATGCATTTAACTTCAATATATACAAAAAAGATAAATTAATAGTTCTTTATCGAAATATACATTCTATTTTTTTTAATGAATTTTATTACAGTTAAATAGAAAATATAAAATTACCTAAAATCAAATAATATATGAGAAATTTTGGAAAAAATGCAAAAATAGATCAATTAATAGCTTTATATAATTATAATTTACAAAATAATAGTTCTTAAATTGAAATAACATTCTATTATTTTTAATGAATTTTATTTTACAGTTAAATAGAAATTATAAAATTAATTAAAATACAATAAGATATGAATTTTTTGTAAAAATAATATAAATCCTATAAATAAATAAAATAGTCGAACTATAACTTCACTCGTTGATTCTCCCTAGAGTCCATCTTTTTCATCATAAAATTCGGCTCATCCACGGAATCTTATTTATTATCGAGAATGGGAACACCAACTCCATTTGGATGCTCATCAAATTTTGGTTGAGTCCTCCAAGTAGTGTCCCAAATCCTCCGATTTGAATCAATAATCGCTGATGACGTTTGGTTGGGGTCAAACCAGTTCCAAAAAACCAATTTAAAAGTAATTTAGGACCAACTGAACCTATGCAAATAAAAAAAAGGATCATGTAAGTGCATACAAAAAATAATGGCATAAGATCCAAAAGTGACAAATCAATTTTTGAAAATCGACAAAATTCTTCCCTCTTATTTGGCATGTTTAGATGGAAAATTTTGAATTTGACTCTTTTAAAAATATATTATAATTTCATCACATTTTCCATTTGATTTTCTAATGGGAATATAACCACCCTTATGGATAAAATTTAAAAAAATTAAGGGCATTATTTAAATACTATTAAAATAAAAGGATAACATTGACATTAATTTTCTATGATGTTATATATTTAAATAAATAAGGTGGTCTATTGCAGATTTAATTTATGTTTAATGGTAAACTAAATTTGATTATTAATTAAATTTTTAAGAAGTTGGCATTTTAAAGTTGTTATGAAAAAATGATATTATTTTAATTATGATTTTTTTTAAAATCTATCTTTTTACATGAAAATTTTAACTATACTGTCTACAAATAGATCATTTATCTCTTGTACAAAGAGCTTACAATCACTCTTGTCTCATAAATTTCAAAATGGATGGTTGTAAGAGTGTCATTGAATAGACATAACATTCCAACAAAAATATATTCTAACTTCGTGGCTCATTGTAAACCATCGAAGTTGACATCTAATGAGTGGAAATAGTTGTGACCTCATTGTACCAAAGATAGTTCTCTTCATAGACAATCCCTAAGTAAAATCTTCAAAATATATTTGAAGTTTCATTGTCCAACTCAAATTTCTATTCTATAAGGTGTTTCTTTCAAACAATTTATGAAATTACGATTAATGAAACATTTTATTAATAACCTAAATGATTTTATAGGTTAAGAGGAATTTGTAGTCTTTTAGCTGAAATATAGGGATAAGTTGGAGAAAAACAAAAACTGTAGAATGACATTTGATGGCATCCTCCTGATTTAATGCTTGGAATTTTGCTTTGTAATGTAGTTCTTAGAGATCACATTGTATATTTATGCGATTCAGTAAAAGACTTACTTGGCCGCAATTTTAAGCTAAAAATGACAAATCTCAATTTAAAATGAATATTTTAAAAGAAAAATGGGAATTTAATGGATCATATAGCCAACGGACCATAAAATGCTTATAGGGTATACGTTTATTAGTTACTATTCTTGACCTAAGCTTTTACATTGCCCACTTCATAAAATTAGAATTTGTGATTATCCCAAGCAAGCTCCAAACCTAAAAACAATTTCGTGATGGCCATGTAGCCACGAACCTGTAGATGTCTTGTATTATATATTTAGAGAGACATATAGATATAGATTTGGTAAAGCTACACTTAAAACACCCCTAAATATATCCAATCCCACCACCAGAAACCTTTGTGATGGTCTGCCAATTTATTACTGGACGTGATTGCATAATTTGAATATCCAAAAAAGTGCTAAGTAGGGTTAGATTTGTTGACGATTAAAACTATTCTCGCAAGGTAAATTATTTTTAAGGCTTGAAATCCATATTCATCATTGCTTACATCGATGATTTACCAGTTTTTCAGTTTCAAAACTGCATTATGAGATTTGAGTTGTAAAAGCCACGGCCTACAAAATGCTCTCCCCATGCATTTTACAAAACAATCTCCCCATGCATTTTACAAAACACTCTCTCCATGCATTACATGAAAGGTGCAGTTTGTATAGAACTGAAAATCTAAACAATCAAAGTAAAACACACTTTAAAATAGTGTCGAGAAATATGGTTCCAATACTAGAAATCTTTGTAATAGCTTTAATATATATTATCATCTCTATTTATAGAATTTAAAGGTTAAAAAATAGTGTAGATCTATGAAAATCTTGAAAATTGACGATCCAAAAATGCATTAAAAGATACACTATTCTTAATACTTGAAATCCATTTTTTTCTCATGTCCATTCATCTTGAGATCGAGTTGCTCAAAACAAGCTCTACTAGTGAAAATTTTAAGGTGCGCTCTAATATAAAGCACAAAAGTACCCAACTCCCAAGTTGTTATTTTAGCTAACCTTCACAAAGTACTCTAATCTAAGCTAACCTTCCAAAGAACTGTGTTCACGACGTGTTTGAAAAGAAGGACTATTGAATTCACAAAGAGGAGTCCTTCACAGTCACCAAATTCCGTTATGGAAAAAGTTTACATAGAGCCGAGGCTTTGAACAATAAAATTAAAGCCCACCTTAAAAATTTCACTAGAAGAAGCTGTTTTGATAGGCAAATATCCTCAAATTGATCATAATACATTTATGTCCCCGAGGCATCCCACATCCATCTTAAAAATGGAGGTTATGGTTTATAAATAAAAATAAAAATAAAAATAAAGTCAATAGCTTAAAATTTTTCTGCAGAAAAATTATCCTTTCGTTTTTAAAATTTACTTTTTGACACATTCATGTTCTTAGAGACTACCTAAAAAAATTAGGTTGGAAATGCATATGTTAAATGGTTCATGAAGAGGAGACGCATATCTTGATTAGGACTCGCAAAATGATACAGTTGCTATGTGGGCCACCTGCATAGGAAGTTGCACCATCCACCATCCAACTTTTTTGGACAGTGGGTCTCCTCGTGCCCCCTGACTTGGATACTAGAGGTTAATTAGTCGTAGGGTACGG